GAATACACCCAACAACACCCCAAAGCGTAGTAAACTCGATAGTGTGTCGATCAACTGTACCTCGCAACTGCGTAAGCTTTTCCATCATCTGAGCATTCTACTTGATAACAGAGGGAATATCAGAAGATGGAGGAACAAACCCCACGGGAGGAGAAGCAGATGTAAAAGAAGATGGAATAACAGTGGATGGAGGAGCAGAAGAATAATGAGAAAAATCAGATGGATCTACATAAAGAAGGTCACCAATAGGATCAGCTGGTACAGTGAGATCAACTGGCTCACCTAGCTCAGATAAAGCATGAGACCAACTTTGGGAAATAATAATGCGGCCAATCGGCCGAGAAACCCTCCGAAGAACCCTCTCCAAAAAACTAACTCCTAACGTTGTCACTAACCGAAAAATCAAACAAGCATACGACAGCCCCACCCTCGTCCCTGTGACTCTAAAAGTCTGAAGAATCTACTGGCAAATAAAGGTGGGAAGATCAATAGAATCTCTATGCAGCAAGGCCTACAAAAATCGAGTTATCTCCATAGGCAATGAAGAAGTTTGCGACACGGGCCACAGATTTGTGTACACAATGCACAATAGAATTTGGAGATCAGTAGGAAGAGATCTAGTACACATTGCACCTGGACCACCATCCAACGGTGTATTAAACACCGTAGAACGGACAAGAGAGTCCACTAGATCCTAGGGAATAAAGGATGAACGGTCCTAGGGATATGCACTAGACTCGATAAGACATCAAGTGTAATCCTAACTATCCTACCTTGAAGAAAAACCCTAAAAGTCGAACCACTAACATCATGAATGTTAGCATAAAACTCCTGAACGAGAAGGCTAGAAGGAGGTGTCAACTCAACCAGTAAAGGCTCCCAACCCCGGAAAGTAAAAATAGCAGTGAGGTCCGGTGACAAGTTAGACAAAATGACCTCATACTCAAATAAAACAGGTCTCAAGGAAAATTGGGACCCAAAAGTGTCCTATGCAGTCGCTGAGAAAACCTAGACCTATTGTAGGAAATGGAGGTACCAGGTGTCAGAGTAGTAGTACGAGGTCTCTTAGGTGGCATCTGAAACAGATAAAACCAATGGATCAATACCATGATTGAATACATGAAATGCATGAATGCACGTAAACCGAGGCAAATAGGACATATGTAACATATCCTTGGATGAATGCACAAGAAAAATGATGTGATGCCTATGTGGAGATGATGTGAGGCTAGAATGTCATGACATCTGACGTGATATCCTGACTGTGAGACACAATGACATGACGTGTGCCGTGATGACAAGCCGTAATAACGTGACAGCACCTCGCGGTGTCAACATCAAATGCAGACTAAGCAACTTCAGCCGAACAAACTCACCATCCTAATGTGATCGAGTGTGTGAGGTAGACTAAACCCGAAGGACACTAAGCTCAAACAACATCGAAACAATGTAACTACCACATGACATGAGTATGTACAATACAACGAAAACCACTCCAACCTCAACACTTCAACCAACACAACGACAAACCACAAACTAACCAGCCTCCAACAACAAACAAAGTATCAAAGACCAAATACCCAAAAAAGAGTATAATATTCATCAAGAAATACACTTCAAACCACCAAACCATCCTCAAAATCAAGGAAAAAATATGCCCAAAATCCAATCAACACTCAATCCAACTTCAAAGATAAACCAAGCCCAAAACTCACCCCAAAAGTTGCCAAAGCATCAACCACATTCTCACCCAACATAACCATAAATCACTTACAAATTCTAATGCAACTCTCATCAACAAACCGAGTAAAAATGAACAAATAAAGTGAAGAACATCAATTAACCCAAAAAATCGTGCCAAAATAGTCCAAAAATCGAATGTTCGATGCAAAATGATGCAATAAGTGATGACATTGTAAGAGAATGCATAAACCGTGTAGTTCAAATGCCAAAAATGAAGCACGAATGGGCAAGAATCGAGAAATCCCAAAAGAATTGAAAAAAAGAAAAGAAAAGGGTTTAAGAGATTTACCTTTGAAAATTCGTTGATTCAATAAAATTGCACCTCAGTACAGTGATTTGAGATGTTTAAAGTGTTGGGAAGACAAAAATTTGATTTTTAGAAAAAGTGGGGAAAAATGCGTAAAATCATGAAAAATAACATTAAAATTCAAAAATATGGCATGTCGCTCTAGCGAGAAGCGATCGAGGAAGCTTCTGTTTCTATCGCTCGGGCATCTCCTAGCGAAAAGCTAACGAAAACTTATTGACAGAAATAACACTGAATTTTTGAAAATAAAGAAAAATAGCACCCTTTTTTTAAATTTAGTCTCCGACATACAGATGAACTCAAAGATGCACGTGCTCACAAGTAATGCATTATCAAGCAAAAAAATTTCCCACGTACTCAATTAAGTTTAAAATGGAGTAAAGTGTATAAATGACTCACATGTGTTTAAGTGTCACTATTTTCTTTTGATCATGATTCCAAACCTTAAATTTGTGATAAAGAACATGCGAACATGACAATCAAATAAGTATATTCTCTTACTAATGAAAGTCAAACACATAAGATGATGAGGACCTTAAAGTGAGATTGATTCCACAGATATTTTCATTTTCTCTCCCCCCTCCCCCCCGAATATGAGCATATAATTTTTGTCATTTTTTTCGCAAATATTGCATCTTATGTGCATACTCTTGTCCATTAAGCGACTAAGTGACCCGTGTAACGAGCTTTAGGCCGGTTAACCCAAGTCAGTTGATCATAGACACCAAGTTATGAGAAACCCCTCTTCCTTAATTACTCGAGTCAAATAGGCTTCGAACACGAGTATAAGATTAACCAAGTAATATTTTATTTTTTTTATTTTTTTTAAATGGGACAATATATGAGCTTATGTCATCGATATGAAGGTCAATTCACGTTCAAGGTCACCTTATCAACAAATGTCAGCCATCCCAAATCTCACATATATGGTCCAGACTCATTCACGAGATCACAGTGTGTGCAGTGCAAATGGTACATGAAGAAATATAAACTCAATACTCATTGTAAACCAAAACAAATAATGGAAAGAAAATTGTAGATAAGATGAATGCACGCTCAGCCCCACATGCAACATTTAAGAGCACCATGATATGTATAGTAGCATAAAAACATAATTTAAACACATTTTTTTTAATAAAATAACTACACACACCAAGCTCAAAACAAAACATAAATATGTGATAAGCATGCAAGAATTAATGAACACAATGAGCTGCACACGCATGCACCTAAGTATCTGATCAATGAGATACATTAAGTGATCCTAATTAACTTAGTCATCATCTCAATTAAATAGCTAACCTGATTAGCGAGAAAGTCAACATTGCTAGAGAAATTCTGACTTTTACTCATAGTCACAAGTTTATGACACCTAGGTCTTGTGTGTCCCAGCGCGCCACAATGGTAACAAGTGGTAGTAAACCTAGGTTCAAACATGCTCAGAGGTTGTTGACGATAAATAGGATGATTGACCCTACGTTGTCTAGTAGGTCTTAATCCTAAGACATTCGTGCCCTTAGGTTCAGGATTAACAGTATTCCGAGCATTGTTAGTGGTTGGGACGAACGTGGTCTTGGATGTACTAGCAGTAATACCACCATTTTGAACGTAACCTAGCCCATGCTTATTTTCAGCAGGCTTGTTCATCCCTAACAGATTGTCGAGTTTCTGCATACCACTCATGAACGAGTGAAGTTGAGTATTAGATTTTTCAAGATCACTTGTTAAGGATTTAACTTTGGCTTCTAAGTCCTCATTAACAAGTTTCAACTCATTCAGATTTTTGGTAGAGTCCTGAAAATCACCTATGAGTTTCTCTCTCTCTCTTTCAAGTTCATTTACCTTTTTTAAAATAGATTTATTGACCTTTTTTATTTTAAGACTCTCCTCAAATAGTTCACGGTAAGATTCATGAATATCAGTCTCATCCTCAGACTCTCCCTCAGCCTTATCACTATGTTCTTCAATCTCAAGTTTTTCACTTTCTTTATCAAATTCTATTGTAGCTATATATGTGAAGGCCATGAAATTTTGTTAATCTTCACCACCAGAGGTATCACTCTAAGCACTCGAATCTGATTCATCATCACTCAAGGTCATTATTAATGCCTTAAGCCTTCCGTTATTCAAGTTCTTCTTTAAATTAGGGCATTCATTCCTGTAGTGACCAAAACCCTGACATTAATGACATCTCACATATTTGGTATTCTTATTAGCAGTCCTAGAGTTATTCTTTTCACACTTATCTTTCACGAATTTACTAGGAACTTCATTTTTCTGTTCATAAGGGTTTCTCCTATTCATCATCACTTTCTGAAATTTTTTAACGAAATAAGTTATTTCGTCGTCCATAAGCATCTCAACATCAATAGACTCTCTCTCTCTTCTTCTCTAACATTGTTCATGGCTATGGGTTTAACCTTTTTAGGTTGAAAAAAGGTGAGTTCATAGATTTGAAGGGATCCTACGAGTTCTTCTATCTTAACTGCATTTAAGTCCTTACTTTGTTCAATAGAAGTGATTTTAGGTCTAAACCTCTTGGGTAGTGATCTAAGGACTTTTCTAACGATCTTGGACTCGGGAATCTTTTCACCTAGGTTAAAAATCGAATTAACTATGTCGTTCAGATTTGCATAGAATTCATCTAACAATTTATCGTCCTTCATTCTAATTTCTTTAGACCTAGAGGTTAACATCTGCAATTGAGAATTTTTAACAGTTTTAGTTCCATCGTGTGTGGTTTCTAAAATGTCCCAAACTTCTTTAGAGTCTCACACATCGAAACTTTCTTAAACTCTTCAGCAAACACGGCCATGAACAGGGCATGAATGCCCTCACTGTTCTAGTTACACTCAGCTAGATCATCTTTAGTCCAAAGTGAGATATCAGTTGGTGTAACTACACCAAAAACAGTAGTTGAAGGTGGAGTTCACCCAATTTGAACGGTAATCTAAATACCATCCAAAGCTTTAAGGAAGGCTCTCGTTCGAACTTTCCAATAAGCATAGTTGCTTCCATCTCCAACAGCAGCCAACCCAGAATCTGATAAGCAACACTTTGTCATACCATCTATAGAATTACCATATAGATTAAGGAGAACGGCTCCACCCTGAATCCTGAGCTGAGAGATACACTCAATCAATGATTCCAGAAAGAGTGGAAATATCAAGCCAATAAGAATGGAAATTAATGCTTTTTTTGAATAAATACAAACGACTACCAAGATGTAGTGAGAGTCAGGCACACCATAAATTGAAGATTTTAAAATTCGTAAATACGCGAGTAACACAACTAACTTTTAGAGCATTCTTTGTCACCAAATCCAATCCACAAAAATTTACGTTGTATCATCATAACTCTTTATCTTTTGTTGATTGAATTAATAATCAATTCCCAATGCCGTATCGTTAAATCCAAACTGGTCAACTTTTACAGAGACGTTTTCACTGGTATAACTAAAATCTTATCAATTTGCGGTGATTGGTAAATATACATTATGGGCATTCACAATGCTCAACAAGCAGTCAGACCATTGCATCAGTCCTACTAGACAATAGTTGGCAGCCTCAGACAACTATATTACTTTTATTGCTATTTATTTAATTAAATTCTATGGTTATGAATTTCTTTCTTTTTCATGTTAAATAATATTCATGTCCAAATATGCTTTTACTACTATAAGCGGATATTTATTAGGGCCAACTTGGGACTTCAAAGGGAAAGAAAAAGCACAATAATGACTTGAAAGGATGTCTTTATGAATATGTTGGAAAAAAGTTGTCGCTTTACACCACTTGTGCATTCATTTCTTGATAAACCGAAAACGGGTTTTTTGTCCGTGTTCAAAATGTAATAATTTCAGTCGAAAAAAGACAAAAATATATCGTTACTTTGATTCTGTCATTGTTTTCTAGAACATTTTGGGAAATGGGAACAAGTGCATCTTTTTTTATTTTCTACTGTGTTAGTGAATATGTCAAAGAACATGATAAAGGTTCCAAGAATGCTCTTGAACCGCTCATTAACTTACAATAATCATCAAGTCCTAATGCCCTATAGGTCATTGATAACATTGATATGAAATTATATGATTATGACTAATCCTAACAGGAACTGCCTTACGAGCAAAATAATGTTTAAAATCAGCCAGCAAATTTAGTACCTTTCCGAATAATATCAACAATCATGAGAGAATAAAGGCCCTAATCAAATTCATAACATACAACGAATCATACCGCACATTCAAACAAATAAAACAGAAATGAAATGAATCCTTACCATTTTTAGGGCAAGGGACGTAAAGGGAGATTCATCAATGAAAACATCACGGACGTTGACAAATCTGTCGATTAGAAGCTCGACAAGGGCATCGGTGCTGGTTGAGAAGCCGATGTGGATGGTCTCGCAGCTTAACCTCGCTAGGTGTAGCCACCGTTTGCACACCAAAGAAGCGGCTTCTCGGTTCTCGTTCGACTCCAGAGACCGGAAAATTTCCACCATTATCTCATCTGGCAGCATAACATTGATCAGATCAAATCCCCTCATTTTCACACCAATTTACTTTAATTTTATGTAGAACTATAAGGGAGAGAGGAGGAAACTACGTTCTCTCTCACAGAACGTTCTCTGTCGGTGTGAGTTTAGAGTCTGAAAGAGAAAATAGAAGTTGAAATTATTTTATAGGCAAAGCATTTTTCTTTCTTTCTTTCTTCATGTCTAACTCAGCTTAAAATTATCTTATGAATAATAACTTGGACAAATTTATTTAAAATATTAGGATAGTGTTTTGCAATAAACAATAGATTAAAAATGTTGGATGTGTTTTCAATTATTTTTAGTTGCATAGTTTATAAAGAAGACTGAAAATACTGAATTAGCGAGGTAAGTAAAGTGATGGCAATCAATGCAAAAAATCGAATATCGATATATCTAATGTAGACAATCGTATAGTGGAAGCGGTCACTCAACTACTTAAGCCAAATCTCGAGTTGGTGAATTACATCTTTCATTCCTTCCTTTCTATTTAGGATCCTACATCTCCCACTTGCTTATGTAGATCTCAAATAAGAAAAAAAGGCATTTGTCAGCATAGGAAGGCCAATCGAGCTAAGCTTTTAACTTTTTTCAACCTGATCAAACTCTTTGATGTATAAAATATTTAAAAATTGTAAATAATGAGGTTGTATTTGGAAGGGAGGTAGGTTGAACATTGTCATGTTTACCAACTTTCTCTTTTTAGGTTGAAATTTAAACCTTTTTAAGTCACATTTCTCAAGCTTTTATCACCAAATTTTAGATTCTAGTTGACAATGTATATCACTTCGAAAATTATCTACACTGAACCAACGAAACATAGTCAAATTTAAGTTAATTTCAACAACCAGTCTCTTTGACAAGAATTTTTGAAATATTAATTAAATTGCGTGCATTGTATGTAATATCACGAGTATTCATTTTCTCCATCAATTCTCTTTTTGTTAAGAGTAATGTGAGTAATGGCACGTGAGTATTCCTTTTCTCCTTCATTTTTCTCTCTTTTTTATGCCTTTTTGAGATATGTTTTGTTTCTTTCATCAAAGTTCGTTATAGGAATGAATTGTTAAACTACAGGAAATGCTCCTACCAATTTCATAAATTAATCCATCATATGTTTGATGAGATCGCATCGTGTAATAACATACTGATAAGTAGTATAGTATCCGAGTAATAAACAATATAATACAACTTAACGTAGCCTTGTTTAACAACCATTAAATGAAATAATAATAATAATAATAATAATAATAATAATAATAATAATGTTTTGAATTGTGATTTTTAGGAGAATGTGTGATTTAAAAGTAGGAAAAAATTTTAAATTTCCATGTAAAATATTTAATTGTATAAATGTATAGTTGAAAATGAGTATATGGAAAAAAATATTTGAAAATATTGGTTGTCAAACATAGGCTTAATTTTTGTCCCTCAAATTAAAATAGTATTATCTATCTGTGTCACTAGCGTTGATATACCCAAATATCTGATCATTCAACTATATTCGAGGAAGTTAACTTTTCATTGTAACACTATTTAATACCACTAATTGTATAAAATTAGTTTATGTGGCACTAAGTGTCATTAAATGAAATTTTTAATTAAATAAATCACATAACTTTACATTTTATTAAACATGTTACTTAATGTTATATAGACTGATGCTAAATTGAATACATTGGTTGTCAACTAGTCATATCTTTTTAGTAGGGGGTACCCATAGAATTTGCTAACTCATTCCTTTATTAAAAAGAAAAAAGGCATATGTACAGAACTTTTTTTGCCAGAAAGCTATCAGATACTCACATGGGGTGGGTCCCCATGTGAGTAAAATATTGCAAAAAAAAATGCGGGCCCCATGTATGTGTGTATCTGACAGTGTTCTGGCAAATTTTTTTCTGTAAGTCTAGCATTGTTCTATTAAAAATTTGAGATTTGAGAGATTTGAAAATCCTTTTTTTTTTTTTAGTAAAATCAATTTTCTAATTTGATTCTATATATAAGTAGCTGATTCACTTATGCATATCTATGGAGGTGCCAAGTGTCCAATTTATTTTAGGGAAATTGTCAATGCCAATTACTATACTCAGCAGCCGCAATTAATTTTGAAGAAATTATCCATTTGGTTCATTCATTGTTTTCTTATTTTATTTCAGTCCTTCAATTTTCCTCTCTTTAACTCATATCCCGTATTCAAATAAGTATAGAATTCTTTTTTCTCAACTAAGTACCTACGTTTTTATTCTTCATTTTTATGGGGAAAATAATTTTAAATCTTGCAAAATTACACATCAATTCGATAAACAACTGAATTTAATAATTAGAGAAACTTTTTGGTAAAATTGGCAGCAAAATCCCTCAAATTTCATATCATTTTATTTAAGCTCTCTTTGTTTCTTATTTCTTGAAATTAATCTCTCATATATATTAATCTCACAATTTAATAATAACTTTCTCTTCTTTTAATAATTTAGGATCCTGAAATTTGGTTGTTAAACAATAACTCTTCAATAAATTTCATATAGTAGATTTTACGAGGTTCAATATTCAAGCAAGATGATGATTGTCCGAACAAATAATCCTTATATATTAATAAATTAAACGAGTCAAAATAAGCAACATTGACAAACTATTGACTTTGACTGTGAAATGCTCCAAATAAGTTACTCCAAATGAGCTAATTCAATTTGAAGCAAGATATTTGAAGACGATAAAAAATGCAATCAAATATATGTTGACTCGTTACAAGAATATTGAATAGTTGATAATGAAGACTTGTCGTGAATCACGCATGAATGCTGAAAAATGATTCTTATCAATAAATTCATTGATTCCAAAGAATACTGAATAATTGATGAAAATTGAGAGAAAGTGCAATATAAATTTTATTCGTAATTAACCAACTTCTTGAAGAAACATTAATTCTAGTTTAAGGCCTATTAAGATTTCTGCTACACTGTTTGTTAGAAATATAAACTTGATTATAATTAAATTGGTTCGAGTAATAGGATTTGCAACATTCATGTATTATTGACATACATGTATTCTAATTAATGAATATAGGTATAATGGATTCATGTATTTGATATATTCATGAATTATTTTAGGAGGAAGAATGTAATAATGGTGGATTTGCAAGTTTATATGATCGTTGACAAGTAATAGATTCATTGAGTTGAGAGTATCGTCCCACAGGAAATAAATTTCAATTCAAGTGTACTAGTTTTTCATGAAATTCGAACTATGTAAACAAAAGAATTTGATTTTTATAATTATTATAAATTAATCTAAGAAAACGGGGTTTGTATCAAATTATAGATGAATTGTTATCTATTTCAATTCCTAATTATGTGATTTAGTCATATTCATGTGTTCTTGACAATCGATAAAGTTAATGTATTTAACTTTCTTTTTCAAGACAAATTAATTTTATTCTAGTCGCGACTTGAATTTATTCCTAACCTGAATTCGAATAATTAGAATGCATTAAATTTTAGATTATCTATATGATTGCATACGTGATAAATATTATTTTTAACATCTATTGCACGCATGGTAATTTTGTCATATTCTAAATTTATTGTGAATCTCTCAACACTACAACAAGTAACTAATTATTTAATTAGTTATCAAATAATTAAATAATGTAATAGGATGCAAAATAATCAATAACCGCAAGAATCACTAAATTGCTAGTCTTGAATCAAAATAAATAAACAATAAGGTTCATATTCATTCGATACAAAAACGAATCTAGCCTAGTATTCCTTTAAATAGATTACAAAAAGAATAATTGAAAATTATTACCCTGATCATGAAAGAAAGCAAAATATGTTGAGCTTCAAATCCGTGGTTGAAATCTACAATTTATTTCAATTCCTTGCTAGGGTTTGATTTTCTCTCCCCAAAGTGGTGAATTGAAACCTTGTTCTTGATGAATTTTGTAATATTATTGTGTATGAAAATGCAAGAGAGAGTTTTTCTATGCGTAGCCTTTGTTTTGTATTTATAAAAGCCAGAATACAGGCCAAAATCGCGTCCAATTTGGGATTCAAAAGAGTTTAAATTGCGTAAGAAAGCTGTTGATTCATCTGCAAAAATAGCCCACGTGCGCCATTGAGCCAAATGATTCTCGGGTCATGAAAATTAATGTATTACGCGAGCAAGTTCTCGTTGTTTAATCTCTACTCAGCCTTTCAATATTTTGGTCATAACTTTCTCTTCCAATATCCAATTGGGGTAATTCAAAGTGTGAAAATAGCATGTGCATGTAGGCATAACCACTGTCGTGCGTCGTTGAGCCAAATGGCTCTTGGGTCATGAAAATTAATGTATTGCGCATGCAAAAATGGCTTAGATTCACGTCATTTCATCTATTCATAGTTTTTAGTATTTTGGTCATAATTTTCTCTTCTAATATCCAATTAATGTGATTCAAAATGCATTGGAAATCTAACTCAAAGAGCTACAATTATTAAAATTACAAAATTCCAATTCAAACGTTTTATATCCGAAAAATGGGTCTCAATTTGATACTTAATCTAGAGCAAAATTTTCTCGACTGAAAATTGATTTGTGAAAATATTTTAACTATATTACACTCATTTGACCTCCAATTGTATCAAATTGATTATATATGATCTTTAATTACCGTTTTATGGTCCGAATCAACTATTGGATGTTTTCACTTTGGTCCTCAAACTTTGGATTTCTTTCTTTTTGCCCTTTTTTGTTTCTTTTTTCCAATTCCACCAATTTGCCTTGAGTTTTACCTAACGAACAAAATTAACATCTAATTAAGTCATAAGTCATCAAAATTTATTATAATTAATCTCAAGAGACAAATCTATTTTCATAGAGCTTGAAGAGTTAAATGGCCATATAACTTTTGGAGATGCATCAAATGTTGAAGTCAAGGGAAAAGGTAAAATTCTTATTCAAATGAAGAATAGAGAACACCAATATATTTCTAATGTCTATTATATCCCTTTTATGAAAATTAATATTGAGTT